CCGGGGAGGTGCCTGGCAGAGTACATTTTTATGACATGATTGAAGTAAAACACGGCGACCTGCTAGATGGCCCCTGGTGGATCTCCTTGCCTTCCTCAGTTTGGGAGGTGTGGGGTGAGGGACGCCATCCTGGTGCTTTTCGACCCAGTGTGTTTCTGTGATGAACAGAAGCACGGTTTCTCAGCAGAATCAGCAAAGGGCTTTTTAAAAAAATCACTCTCTATATAGCGGTACCTTGGTTCACAGACTCGTCTTCCCACCATTCTGGTCGCAAACTGAATTGGACGAGAACCGAATCAGTCAATGGTTAGGTTCCATCTTGACCTTATGGGAAACTTGATTAAGTCCTTGTCCGATTTGGTTTGTAACCAGAATCGTGGAAAGAATTAAGTTTGTCAACTGAGGTACCACTGTACATTTGTTTATTTACTGGGGTTTTTGTTTGTATTGGGGATCAAACTTGGGTCCTTGTGCTGCTTGCGAGGCAAGCGGTGGAACCCATGAGCTAAATCCCCAGCCCTATTGATTGTTTTTTGAGACAAGGTGTCATTATATAGTTCAGGCTGGCCTTGCGCTCACGCTGTAGCCCAGGCTGGCCTCGAACTTGCTGTGATCCTCCTACCTCAGCAAAGTAGAATCCCTAATGGGATTCTAAGTGGAGTGGCTGTCATGTTGACAGTGGCCTCCTGCACCAAGAATCCTTCACGATGCCAAGCGAGCAACTAAGGAGGCGGGGGAGGATGATTAAAAAGTCATCACACAAGCTGGAGTGAAGTCACCGTGGACCCTCCTGGGGTCTAAGATGGCAGTACAGGAGCTGACGGCACTGGGTCTGGCCCGGGCTGGGGCTCAGGGAGGTGGAGACTCAGGCCTGCCGGGGTGAGGGGCATCCCCTGAGTGGCCTGCGCCTCCTGTCTTTGTTTAGGTGGGCTCGAGGCCCATGCCTCACAGCAAGCAGAGATCACGAGTGTGCACACGTCTGTTCATAACCCATCTGCTGTTGTGAGGCAGCAGGAAAGGTGCACACCCACCAGCGAGACTGCTGGGCCATGTGGCATTTCCACTTTTAATTTTGGGAGGGGCGTCTGCACTGGTTTGCACAGTGGCCGTACCATTTTGCACACCCACCAGCTGTGCACAGGGCCCAAGGCTCGCCAGCGCTTGCTACTTTAAATGGTTTTCTCGTTCTGTAGTGACTATCTTCATGGGTTTGAGGTCTTATGATTCCCCAGAGGCTGCATTTTGCTTTGGCTAAGGGCTAGAGGCATGAATACTAGTTCTTTCCAGTAGGAAAGCTCGGTCTCTTCTCTCTGATCACATCTGGGACACATGTGAGCCTCCAGAGGTCTCTGGGCACGCGGCCCACTGCTCACCACGGTAGGTGTCCCACATTCGTCTGTTGTGCACAGTGTCCTAGTTTTGGTCCCCGACTTCCCTAGCACTGGTCTTCCAGGCCGAGCCCCAGGGTTAGAGCGATGGTCCAGTGCCCTGCGTGAGCCCTGCCTGAGACCCTGTCCAGCACAGGAAGGAAGGAGCAGCAGGCTGGGCGAAAGTTAGGTCTGGGCGCCCGTCTGTTTTGCACTGCTAAGACAGACACCCCAGACTGGGCCGTTTCCAATGGGTGGAAATTGGTTTCTCACAGCTGGAAAGTCCAAGTCAAGAGCCGCCCTCGGGCAGGCCCTGCTGGGTCCTAAGGAGGAGAGCGAGCAGCGGACTCAGCCTCCGTGAGGACCCTGCTCCCCTGGAGCGGCGCCCGTCCTCTCTGACCTCACCCCTCTCCGCACAGATGGCCCAGGGGTTAGGTTTCCAGCATGTGAACTGCGGGGGCCACCTTCAGACCTCAGCTCTGGGTCTCCGCAGAGAATCAAGAAGATCAAGCCAAGGCTGACACTGCGGAGGCATTGGGGCAGGGTCTCCGTGGATGCCTCTGGTGGCTGATCGCTTGGGGCTTGCAGATGAAGGCGCTCGCTCCTGCATCACAGACGTAGCTGACCTTGAAGCTGCCGCACCTCTGCCTCTCAGTGCATTTGCTGCAGAATGACCTGCAGCTCTGTCTCCAGGAGTTAGTTTATGCACCTTGTTTGTAGGTCGGAGGTGCTTGTATCATTTTGCAGTTGCAGGTGAGGGTGAAATGCTGGGCTCTTGCCCTGGGGGTTCCACGATGGGTGCCCGTGGCCCTTAGTGACACCCCAGAGGCACCCTGTACTCCGACAGGCCCGTCCGTTCCTCTGCTCCCTGGGCTTCTTGGGCACTTGCACCCAGCACCCCCTGGCGCTCCTTCCCACCATGAGCCTCCTCCTCGGTCACGGCCCTGCTGGCCACTCGGCCTCTAACAGCATTTCCCGGTCCGTCGCTGTCCTCCGCTTGCTCTGAATGCATCTAGTTACCGTCTTTGAGGTGGCTGTTCACAGAGATGCCTGGTACAACTGGATTGAAAATGAAGTGGGGAGAGGTTTAGGTGGGTGAGGACGGGGCCTGGTGAGTGAGCAGCGATGGGGGGGGCTCTGTGGTTCTTGGAACCCAGCTTGGGCTCGGAGCGTCTCGGCCCAGAACGAAGACGGACTCGGCTGTGAGCAGCTCGTGAGACCCACGGAGAGCTGGGCTAGGCGGGCTTGGGGGGGCTTCCTTCCGCTCTCAGACTGGAGAAGGGAACCCTGTGGGTGGAAAGCTGAGGTTCTGCAATTGTGACGGTTCCGGACATTTTTCTACATAGGTCAAACAAAGGAATCACAGACTTAGTTCTTTCATTTGTTCTACATTCAGACACGGGCAGCGCTGGTCATGAAGAGATTCAGAGGGGTTGTGGGTGAATGGTTCTGTGTCCACGTGTGTGTGTGCGTGTGTGCGTGTGTGCCCGTGCGCGTGTAAGCCCGGACTGCTGCTTGGCTAACCCTGCTGCCTGGTCCTGAAAATCCCGCTGAGCAGACAGGAGGTGCTGAGTGACTTCGCTGGGAAAGATGTTTGCACATGCCTCACACGTGAGGAGCCGGCAGCCTTGTCTAAGACCCTGGCCGGGAGCTCACACACTTCCCGCCTCCCCTCAGGGTATGATTCACGGGCCGGTGTCAGTTCTGCTCCTGGGGTCCACACGATCCCCTGTCCCTCTCACTCTGCCCACCTGGACAGCTTCGGAACACGCTTTCTGAAAGCTGTGACTGGCTTTGGTCCAGTTTTATTCCTGTTCCCATAGTGCCAGTCTAGCAGTATTTCCTGGCGTGAAGGGAAGAGAAATGGGAAATAGCCTTCAAGATGAGCAAGGCGACAAATGCTTTAGGGAAAAAACAATGCAGTATCACTTCCTGCCAGCCTGATTCCCCAGCCGCTCGGGCTCCACAGCATTCTCTTGTGCCCCACAGCATTCTCTCGTACCCTCAGTCTTGCTACCAGGCAGATCCAACCTTCTTCTTTTAAAAAAATTTAAATTTTTATTGACCCACGTTTGCAGTTTGTAGTGATTGCATGACACATCTTCATGCTTTCATGTCCCCTCCTACCCCTCCCTCCATCATCCTTGCCTTCTGCAAAACACCTCCCTCCCCGTTTCCTGTTATCTGCCTTTTATTCTGCTGTTTATTTTGTACTTTAGGCTCTCCTATAAGAGAATCCATTTGATATTTAAGCTGTGTGTGATTTCTTTCATTTAACATTAGGGTCTCAAGGTGCATCCATTCTCCTACAAATGACTCGAGTTTGTCCTTCTTTACGGCAGAGTAGTGCTCCACTGTGTGTCAACACCACATTTTCTTTGTCCATTCTTCTGCTGATGGCTGCAGAAGGTCCCAGTTTCTTCTGCTCTGGGTGTGCCTCCAACCCAGACAGCAGCCCGACTCCTTGAAAAGTCAACCCCTGCCAGGCACCGAGGGGAGCCCCTTGCCTGGGCAGTGCCCCAGTGGCTTGAGGCCCCTGCCTGTTCTCTGCTCTTAGCTGAGCGTTGTCTTCATTGAACTCTGAAGGAGACGCCAGCCCACCGGCTGGCTGGGCTCACCTCCTATGGCTCTGGGAGCCCACAGGGCTGCCCTTCATTTTCCTGCCTTCAGGACATGGGGTCCCCTCCAGTTTTTCCCTGGGGAACTTTTGGAGGTCTGCATATCGCTGACTACAGACCCCTCCTCAGCCTCTGGCTAGATGGTGGAGCTGCAGGCTGGGGCTTGGTATTCCACTTGCTCCTGCACAGCAGATGCCACCATGCTGCTGGGAGGGAGCTATTTCAGTCATAATAAAACCAACAGCTAAGCACTGATGTTTTCGTCTGCATCCTGCAGCCCTGCCAGCTTTACTGTAATTATGCCATTCAAGGGAAGAGGCCCACCATTTCCTGTTCCCGGCCCCTCTGAAAAGATCCAAATTGTGGCCCTGTTTCTAAGGACCGAATCACACTCGAGTGTAAAAATGGCTCTATGGGAAGTCATTAGGGAAGTCATGTTTGTTGAGTGAAATCTTGAAGGGCATGAAAAGGGAAGCAGCTGGGGTGGCCAGAGTCCTGTCCCAGGCACAGAGCTGACTTCAGCCTTGATCCGTGGAATGAGTGCCAAGCCCAAGGCAGAAGAAACGGAAACACTGCTGGGCACCTGTTTGTTTTGAAGTGCTTGTAGGGAACAGGGGAAGGGGACGTTACCAGAACCTCTGCAGTGAGTCCTGGTCTCTTGCGAGCCACGGCAGCACACGGCGAATTACAGGAAAGGTAGGAAAATGAGACTGAGAAGAAGCTGAGCTTTGGGTCTGATCAGTGCTGCTCTGGGCAGCAGAGACGACAGCCCCCAGCTTACCGCACCTTTTATTCAGTACTCAGTCCATCGGGAGAAACAAAGGTAACAAGTGACTTGTAGAGAGTTCAGTACATCCTGCATAAATAAGATGTAACAATCCAAGAACAAGGAGGAACTGAGTAGATGTTTGTTCCTCCCAGGATGTTTTTCATCCTGGAGAATCACAGACAGCATCACCGGATCATTGAGGTCTCAGTTGTGACCGGGGGCCAAAATGGAGTTATGTCTCGGAATTCCATAGCTGGGCTGTAGGCAAGAGAACTAGGCTAACCAAATGATTTTTCCCTAAAACTGTGTAGCATTGCTCCCGACAGGTGCCGTTGTTCCCTTGGAGGAGCACACCCAAGGTCACGCTGGTACCCGGGATGAGCTGGGTCGGGGAGGAGCTGTCGCAGCCCGGCTCTGGGGCCCCAGGGTGGGGCCAGGAGGCTGGAATTGTCGTGCACACCGCCCGTGGCTCATGGGGAAGCCTCTCCTTGCTTCCCGCTGCTCCGGGCTCTACTCGGCCCGGGGGACTGTGGGAGGCCGCGTGGGTGAGATGGAGTGAGCGCGATGTCCCTGGCTGTGCCTGGTGTGTGCACTGCAGGGTGTGCAGTCTCCTCAGCTTCCTGGGTGGGGCGGTATGGAGCTTCACACTTTGCTCGCTTCAAGGGGTGCTGTAGGCCATGGGGCAGCCCTGTCCTGATTCTGATCCATCTGGTTTGTAATCTGAAAAGGTCTCTTTCCTCCACTCCAGGAAAGGCCCAGTGCCCTGCGGGGCAGGGACCCCGCTGCAGACTTTTTAATGTCCTGTATTGGACAGCGGGGGCCAGCCGCGGTCAGCAGGGCCGGCCAAGCCCGGGTCCTCAGCCCTGTGCTGGGAGGAAGGACTGGTCTCCCGTAGAGCCCTGTAAGGGTGGGGGGGTGCGCATCGCCCTGAAGGCGTCTTCTCATCTCTACTGCCCGCTGGCCTGGCTGTAAAATCCCAATCCTGCTGTTTTCTAGCAGCCGCCCTGGAGTCTACATCAGCGGAGAGCACCCTGGCGGACACCTCGGAGCTGTCTCCTTGCAGGTCCCCCTCGACGCCCCGGCACCTCCGCTACCGCCAACCTGGAGGTGAGCACTGCACGGCCGGGTGCAGAGGAGCTCGGGTGAGCTTGGGCGCCGGCCTCGCGCCCAGACCCGTGTGTGTAGAAGTGAGATGATGGAAGTGACGGCGTTCGGGTAGGACCCAAGGGTGGAGGGTGGACAGGGAGAGGACGCACCCGACGGAACAATGTGGTCCCACCCTTGCGTCACTTTTATTCTTTTGGTACCGGGGATCAAACTCAGGACCTTGCACGTGTGAGGCAGGCGGCAGAACCACTGAGCTAAATCCCCAGCCCCTGCATCGCATTTTGTGCAACATGCGGTGGACCGAGCAGCTGGCGCTGGCAGGGGGACAGTGGAGGGACCTCAGCCTGGTGTCCCCACAGCGCGTGCCTCACCCTGATTCCTTCCCGGGAGCTCGGTGTGGCCTTAGGAACAGGCTCTCGGTGCCTCACCATTGCAGAGCTTCCGCCTGCCTGGAATATCTAAAGTCCTCACTTTAAAGTCCAGTTGCAAGGATCCTCATCCTTATTGTTAGGGACAGAAATGTGCATTTTCTCTTATATACAGTTAGGAAAATTGTGAAGTGTGATTCTGTAATTTGTTTGGGAGCAGAACAAATGTCCTGTGATTGGTGGAAAACAAGCAGAGCAGAAAGCAGAAGCCTTTGGTCAATGCGGGCCTGGCAGTTTGTATGACCACTCAGGACATACGCTCCTGAGTGGATGCCCCAAAGAGTTTGGGGTCACAGCCCAGGGAAATAAGACTACAAAAGCAGGCGGGAGCTAGATGCTGTGCACCATTGTGTTGGTTATTTTCTTGTCTCTGGGACACAGTGCCCGACACCCACAGGTTAAAGCAGGAGAGGTTTGTTTTGGCTCAGTGTGTAGAGGTTTCTGTCCATACTTGGTTGGTTCCAAGACAGGGCAGCCCGGCAGAGGGCATCACAGAGCTGGGTGCTCATGGCGTGGCCGGCAAGAGGAAGCGGAGAGGGATCAAGGGAGGAGGAGGGAGAGAGAGAGGGACCCTGCCAGGCCACGCCCCAGCGACCACCCCCTCCACCAGGCTCTGCCTCCCACCGTCACACCCAGGCCTAAGACAGTCCAGGGCCCCTCCAGCACCACAGACCCATGTCTGTCACCCCCAAGCCCACCCGTGAGCATGAAGCTCAGAGGGACATCTAGACACAAGCCATAACCGTATTGATATGTGAACTCCTTACTTCTTAGGGGACTACTTGGACATTGTCTGTGGGTGTCGCAGCCGTGTGGGAGCCAGTGGGAAGGACACGGGGCGGCCCCCTACCTCCGGCCTGTGCTGGGGATGGGCCAAAGGCAGCTCTGTGCCCCTTGCCTGCTGGGCTCTGAGTGTGGCTGCACGGCCAGCAGAGTGACTAACCGAAGCCCTGCAGTGGAGTCCTCACTGTTTTCACCTCAGCTGGCAGGAGGAGGAGGGCGCCCTGGGCCTATTGGATGTCATGTCGTGGAGGAGTAGCAGGGCCCAGCCTCACCTGCAGGCTTGGGTTTCCCAAGGCCGCCCTCTCCTGGCCCCCCTTTCAGAGGAGCTCGGGAGGAAAGCCTGTCCTAACGCCGTGTAGAATCTCTTGCAGACACTTGATCAAGATATTACTTGCATTCTGTCAAATTCGCCCCTTGAAAGTACAGAGTTTAGCAGTTTTGATTATTCATGAGTCAGACAGCCATGACCATGAATTCTAGGACGTTCTCCTCACCCCAAAACCCATCTGCCTCCCTGGCAGCAGACTCAACCTCCTGTCTGTGTGTATGGACGCACTCACTCCTCGTATAAGGGAAGTCGTACAGCAGGGGACCTTTCTGTCCAGCCTCTCAGTGTAGTGTTTTCTGGGTTTATCCATTTTGTTGCATGTGTCAGAGCCTCGTTCCTTTGCATGGCTGAGGAATAGCCCCTAGTTTATGTTTATTAGTCCGTTGATGGGCATTTGATTAATGGGTTTGTTCTTTTGGCTGCTATGAGCAAGGCTGTGGTGTGTACTCACGTGCGGGGTGTTGTGTGGCTGTTTCCTCCTCTCTCGGTTACATGCCTAGCATGGGATTGCTGCTGTACAGTCTCACTGTTCGCCTCCTAGCAGGAACAGCACGAGAGAGTGGCCCCTTCACCTCTGTTGGGTAAAATGCGAGGACTCCCCTGTGACCTGTGTCTGTCTGACTCACTCCCTTCCCTTTCTTTCTGCCACGCCAGGACAGACCCCAGATGGCACCCACTGCTCCGTGTCACCAGCTTCTGCTTTTGCAATTGCCACAGCTGCAGCGGGACATGGGAGTCCCCTGGGTGAGTGGGACCCTCCAAAACAGGCTCGGGGCCGTGGCCGCCCGGGGCTTTGTGTGCAGGGCTGTGGGTCCTGCCCTGCATCCTGGGTCTGGGGAGGGCTCTGTTCAGGAAGCACAGCAGGAAATCCCATCCTTCGGGACAGGCATGGACCGCAGGACGCTGTATTAGGTGAGGTACGGGGTGTGTGGAAAAGCATGATGAGGTAGATTAAAAAACCTGTTGCCTACAGTGAAAGACACAGCGCCACAGAGTCCCCAGCCCCTCCCCCTTGCTTCAGACAGCTCTTGCCGCTTTCCGGAGTCCTCTTTTGGGAGCGTCTTTAGTTGCACTGTTTTGGCTGCCTCGATGTCCTGAATTCTTCAAGATGTTGACCTTTTCCTGCTCATTGTGACTTTGGGGAAGAACCAGAAGTCGCACAGTGCCAGATCCAGTGACTAAGGTGGATGAGGACCCAGTGTCACGATGCTGTGAGCTCCCTTTCCGTTGCGTGGCGCTCAGCAGCATATCTTTGGTCACATCTGGTAAAGACGCTCAGGAAAGAGGACTCCAGAGCTGCTGCAGAAAGTGGCAGGGACACGGGATAAGAGCGTTGGAAGCCGGAAGCAGGATTTTGAGGGGGATTCATGGCACTTTGTCTTTTACTGCAGTACACATTTACAGTTTAAACAATGACTAGGTTCTGATCACCTCTGTAGGCCAGGCACAGGAACACGTGGAGTGATCTGTCTCGCTTACGGGGGGAGGCTAATAAAGTCTAAGTCACAGAGAAGCTGGCTGGGCTTGGACCGTGACCAGGGCTGGAGGGGTGAGGAGAGGTTGGGCGGAGACCAGTTTCAGATAGAAAGGAGGAGTGAGCTCTGGAGATTTATTATGTAGCACAGCGGCTTGCTCAGTGCTTGTGCTCTGTATTCTTAAAAGTTGCTGAGTGGATTTTAAGTGTTCTCACCACACACAGAAGAGGGAGTGACAGCGATGCTAATGAGCTTGATCAAATCGTCTCTGGTGCATACGCACATCAAAACATCACCTCTTGCTCCATAAATATAAACAATAAAAAGACAAACATGCAAACAAGCAGGTGTCCTCAGGAACTCGCTGCATCGGGGGAGAGGGCACGTTTCCCAAGGTGTCACGTGTCCAGCTTTGACTGGACACACTTGTGTTTTGGTTGAGTCGGATGCTCCATGTGTGCAGAGGAGGGGAGCTTGGAGAGGGGAAGCTGTCACTTGTCCCCTGAGTCACCTCCTCGCTCCTTCCGGTAGGTCCCAGTTCCTTCTGAGTTGCTGACAGCTCATTTTCAGGTAAAGAAGTACTTAAAATTAAAGCGGTTTTTAACAGATGAACATTATGTCCATGACCTCTGCCCTTTTCTCTTCTGGACAAGGAGGAGTGCGTTCTGGCCAATCTGTGAATGGTTTAAATGGGCATTTTTGCTGTGTTTTCTCTTGACCCGAAGCACTTGGCTCCAGTCACAGTTTGTACAGCTGTCTCTGTGCTGTGTGCTGCTGCGCCGGCTGACAGGGATCTGAGATCTTAGGGCACAGGACCCAGACACTTGGGGTGGGATTTTAACAAGTCCTGCATTTTAACAAGTCCTTCACTTGATTCAGGTACACAATAGAATTTGAGAACCATAGAGCCCGTATGGTATCAGAGCCCCCTTCCCTGTATAGAAAGTCGGTGACTCCCTGTTACTTGGGAGGCTGAGGCAGGAGGATCATGAGTTCGAAGCCAGCTTGGGCTACAAAGTATGATTCTGTCTCAAAAAACAAAACAAACACCGAAATCTACCTGTGATTGTAGATCACCTGTCACACAGGTTTGTATTTCTTTCTAAGCCTTTTAGACAACTCTACCTTTATCTTTTAGTAGTTTTTGCATAGTATGCATGGTTGATGTTGTCCAAGTTATACATTTAAATTCTCATTTTTGTTGTTATTTTGAACATGGATGGTTGTCTAGTGTTCCACTCCATGTTAGAGACTGTCTTTGTCTCAAATAGAAACTCTTTTAATAATTTTTCTCCAGTTACATGTTTTTAACAGCTTTATGAGATACAGTTCACATACCATACAGTTCACTATTTAAAATCTACAGTTCAGTGGGTTGTAATGTATTCCAAGTTACGCACTAATCCCCACAGTACGTCGTAAAGCATTCCCATTACCCCAGAAAGAAGCTCTGGACCTGTGAGCATCCACCCCAGCTGTTTCTTCCCTTAGCCTTGTGCAACTACGAATCTCTCTTCTGCCCATAGGTTTACCTATTCTGGACATTTAGTATGAATGAAATCATACCATACGTGGCCTTTTCCATCTGGGTTATTTTTCTCAACTTAATGTTTTTGAGATTTCTTCATTTTTGTTGCAAGTATCAGCTGGAGGGGGGGATCCTTTTGTCATAGCAGAATAACATCCCATTGTATGCATAAATTGTGTTTCATTTACCCACTTAGCAGTTGAAGGACATTTGGGTTGTTTCTACTTTTGGCCACCACAAATGATGCTGCTCTCAACATTCCTTCATCAGTTTTTGTGTGGACCTTTGGTTTTATTTATGTTGACTTGCTGGGTTGTGTGATGAGATAAGGTTGACTGTTTAGTAAACTGCCGCTGTGCATTTCCACCAGCAGTTTATCAGAGTTCTGCTCTCTCCGCCCAAGTGACCCTGTGCTGCCCCCACTGTAGAGCTGGTCCCTTACAGTGCAGTGGCCCCAGCCTTCCCTTGTAATACTGCTGACATTTATGTCACTTCCCGTATATTGTTACTGTCACTTTAAACAGTTGTCTTGTGGACCAGTTAAAATATTTTATGTCATCATTTGCTGCTTCTCCAGTGCACTTGCTTTCTTTAGAACACAGATCTTAGTTTCTGACCTACTTCGTTTTTCTCTGAAGAACTTTTTTAAAACCTTCCCTCCTTTAACACTTCCTCTCCTCATTTCCGAGGAGACGCTGCGGTTCTTACCTTTATTCCTCTCTCTGTGGGTAAGGTGTTATTCTCTGCAAGTTTTTTCTGAATCTGTGTCTTTGTTTGCATGATACTTTCTGAAATTGTCCCATGGTTCTGTGTTCTAATCTGTTCTTTTCAGGGTTCTTTTCTTCCCTTTGCATCTCACTTTGGAGAGTTCTGTTGACCTGTCATGGGGTCCCCTGTCTTCCCTTGGCAGAACTGAGTCTGTGGGGAAACCCTGGAAGGAAGGTATTTTCATTTCAGCACCGGTGTCACCAGTTTCTACATCCCCTTTGCTACCAAGCTTCCTTCCATCTGTCTGCTTCCGTTCCCTGTCAGTTCTGGTGGTCGTCTCCTTTCTCTATTTGAGCCCTTCTCATGTTAATCATAGCTGTGTTAAAACTGAACACACACCCTGTCATTCTTGCTTCTTAAGCAGTTCTGGAAGACCTCTTGGTGAGTATCTTTGAGGTGTGATCAGAATCATACTGAATGCTGCTGCCGAGCACCATCCAATGGAAAGGCAGGTTGTAAAAAACATGACGCTGTGTCCTCATCCACCTTAGTCACCAGATCTGGCACCCTGTGACTTCTGGCTCTTCCCCAAAGTCAAAATGACCACGAAAGGCAAACGTTTTGAATCCATTCAGGACATGGAGGACAGCACAACTGAAGACACTCAGGAAAGAGGACTCCAGAGCTGCTGCAGAAAGTGGCGAGGACCATGGGATAACTGCACTGGCAGTAGAGGGGAGGATATTGAGGGGGATAAATAACAATGTGTCTTTTCCTGAAAGACAGTTTTAAAAAAATTGAACATTCATCCTATTTTTGATCACACTGGGTATTAGCTGCTCACAAAGGCCGCCCAGCAAAGTCAGGGCACAGCTATTCCAGGGCGCACCCTCTTGGCATCCAGACCTTGACACTGGGCCAGTGACACTTTCACAGCCTTGCTCGCAGCCAGCGAATGCTCTGGAAATTAAAGGATCTAGAGTGTCTTCTTTTTCAGCTTCACTTGTCTTGTACGCTCCTTAGCGGGTTCAGAGCATCTGCTCATTTCTTTCCCACCATGGGATTCTAGTTTGCAACATGTTTTCCATTTTTTTCAAGGTATATAAAGACTATTTTTCATTATTTCATTAAAGATAGCTAGTTGATGTTTTTGGGATAAGACCTTCAGTGTATTTAACTTATAGTTTTAAATAAAAATGTAATTATTGCTGTTAATGGAAATGCTTTGGTGAACTGAGTTTAAGTTAACTGTGATATCAGGTCTTGCTTATAAGCACATGAGCGCAGGCGCACACACGCACACACACTACCTGGGATTAGAACTGTGGGATGGAGCAGCTGCATCTCGCCCTCTGCCTGTGCCACCACTGTTTCCCCCAAGCAGACCCACCTTTGCTGCAGCCCCCGGCACCTCTCACCGGGTCAGGTGGCAACGCCAGCTTCCTTCCTTCCTCCCACTGTCCCTGCATTGCAGAAGCACGTGGTCTTGCTGGTGTCTCTAACTCTGCTGGGTGCGCTGGGCCCCGCCCACTGGGGGCCAGGCGGGAGCTGAACTGGCCTCGCCTTTCCAGTGGACAGCCGTGCTCAGCCCAGGCCCAGAAGGAATGTGAGAGCAAGGCTGCCAGATGTGTTTTCTGTCACTTGCTTTTTCTTCAAAAGAAAAGCCAGAAATCCGAATGTTTGTGTGAAATCGTGTAGTGCTCGTTGTTGGAAGTGGAGACATACTGTTCACAAACACCGTCCAGGCCAACCGGAATTCTCTCGGCCGCGATTGGCTGTGGGCAGTGGTTGGTCCAGATGTGCTGTCCTCACTGGCAGCTGAGGCTGCAGTGCACACAGCCGGGGTCTCCGGAGACACCTGCACCCCAGGGCCCTCCCTGTCTGTGCCCTGGCTGGGCCATGTGACCAGAGGGACCCCTCCCTCCACTTCTGCTTTAGAGGGAAATGTCTCAGAGGTCCGAGGCCGCCTCCCCGTCCCCCTGCAGATGGAAGGAAGGGGCTGCAGGACTGTTTATCTGGCCTCTGGTTGTGTA